AAACTTAAACTTTGTTATTTATTTTTGAAATGAGCGATCGTTTCGCTTGATAAGACCCTTATTCATCGTCTGGAATCGTTTAAAGCCCTTTGAACAGTTTCCAGTTTGCACTGAAACTGTCTTTTGGACCTTGAACCGTTTGGTGCCCAGCAAAGTGCATTATATGGAGAAAAATCCTGGAATGTTTTCATCAAAAACCTTAATTTCTTTTCGACTGAAGAAAGAAAGACATGCACATCTTGGATGACATGGGGGTGAGTAAATTATCAGCAAAAGTTTTTTTAAAAGTGAACTACTCCTTAAACGCCTTAAAATAGCTTGAATGTAACTCTACACCCTCATTTAGTATGAATATGCAAATGAACCCCGCCTCCACTCACTCACTCAGCTCAGAGATCCACTGGTTGACGATCACAGGTTGATCTGATTGGTTACAAGGTCGTTTGTGACGTCAGAAACACCAGCGATTTCAAACCGTGTTTTTGAGACTGTCTTTGGTTCACTGCAGTTTTAAGAAGAAAATACTCAGCAATGCTGTCGACTTATGAATTTCCACATGGTTTGTCTTAAAGCATATTAAACACACCACAGACATATAAACAACGTCTAAAGCTTGGTTTTCACCACGGGGGACTTTACGAGTCTTGAATGTGCTCATTGGTGTATAGCAGAGTACATCCAGATCCTGTGAGGTAATTGCTTGATGAATGTGTTACGGTGGATATTAGGGCTGTAAGTATATTTGATGGGCCTGTAGTGTGTTTGAGCATGTCTGTGTGTTTTCTGGGAGAGCTGACAGCTGGATGTTTGCTCTTGTGTTGTGTGTGTCAGCGCACCAGCTACCGCTCTGGCGAGTCACGCATAATCATAAATCAGCTGTCGGTCGAGATGACAGGAGCTTCTCTCACTGGTGTGATGTTTCATGCAGGAGGTAAAAACAGTCATGGCTCGTCTGAACCTGTTATTATCTCAATCACAAATGATAACAGGCCTCAATTCAGACGTGCTTCACTATTTTTCCACATGACCTTCCTCTTCGCTGTGAGGTTTCATCGTTTAGACCTTTTTAACATGAAGTAAAATCACCCCCAGTTTCTAAGTATTCTACTCTATTCTGAATCATACACAAGGCCTTACATTTTAAAAATACGCCACCATTCAAAATTTGGGGTCAGTAAGACTTTTTTTTTGCTTCATGCTCACATCAAGGCTGCATTTATGTGATCAAAAATACTGTAAAACATTGTGAAACAATATTATTCCTGCGATGACAAAGCAGATTTTTCTGCATCATTACTCCAGTCAATAATTGTATCCCTTAAAACTCATCTTTGATCACCAAAATTACATATTTAAATATTGCCTTATAATACCTTGAATGTTACTCGACACCCTTGCCTAATTTAGTATACGCGGTTCACGAATATGCAAATAGCCCCGCCTCCACTCACTCACTCACAGCAGCTCGGATTACCTGATCCACTCGCTGTAGTAAACGCTATACAGTGACAATATTGGTTTAATTCAGCCATATATGTTTAAACCAGGAACTGATTTAGAAGAAGAGCGAATAATACAGGATCGTCAATGTATCAGAATGGTAGTGTATTTTATGTACGTCAGGCACATAACTGTGATTGATATGATTAGCCTTTGGCTTGATTACATTATCAAACAGATAATAATGTGTTGCTAATGTTACACAGACCATGTTCCTGATGTTCACCATCTCAGAGTCAGTCTAATAATCATCCTCCCTAGAAACACTCTGAACATCATTGAAAGTCAGTGGAGAAAAGCCCCGGCCTCAACTTTTCAGGATCGTTTACATGTTTGTGACGGTAGGAAAGGTGATTTCAAACCGTGTTTTTTGAGAATGTCTGCTGTTTTAAGGAGAAAATACTCCGCAATGATGTTGACTGATGAATTTGCACATGGTTGCACATAAAAACATCTCATAACATTTAAAAACTTGATTTTCAGCACAGGGTCTATAAGTGTCACACTAACCTTCTAGCCTTTTTTTTTTTTTTTTTACAGTATTTGATTAATAGAAAGTTCAAAAGAAGAGCATTTATTCATTTTATAACTAAATAAACTTTTCAATTAAATGTGTTCTTGCTAAATAAAGCTATCAATTTCTTTAAAAAAACAACAACAAACTGACTCTTAAATATTACAAACTTTTAAATATGCAACAATGTTGTGAGTGTGACTACATTTCCCAAACGAACATTTACCACTGATCAGTTTTTGGTTTATAATTTTCATTTTGGTGACTTGATGTGAGGAATATTCCACATGTAGCCCTCCAGGAAAACATGTCCTGCAGATATTTTCTCTAGTAGGCGGTGTATACAATTCGACTTTAATCATATAATTTTTTATTCACAATTTCATATTAGATTTACTTGTGATAGCCTCTCATTTGCTGCTTAGCGAGTGTTAATTTTGGACCTTGACTTCAGTGTTTCTAAAGTAAACAATAAAGATAATTATAATCATATAGTATTCCCCTCTCACCATTTTGTGCCAATGTTTACTCCTCCGCGTGCCAGCGGTGGGACACATGCCCTGGCATTGATGATTTCTGGTTATTAATATATTTAGTCATCTTTTCTTTCTCCTTTTGCCTTTTGTTTTTTTTTAATGCACCAAAGTGACATTTTTTAGGAGGAAATAATATTACAAAATATAGCTTTTTAGGACTAATTAAACTGTATGGCATGTTAAATTTTCACATTGTGTTAACATTTCTATTTCCCCCCCTTTGTTTTGGTCATGATTGGGGATTGAATCTCGTCAATTAAGAGTTCAGTAAGTAAGGGTTTACAGTTGCTGTTGTCGTCATAACTTGTTCTTAGGATAATATTAAATGGGCCCTATTATGCCCTATTATGCCCTTTTACAAAGTCTTGATTTTTGTTTTTGGGGTGGACTAGAATGTTTTGATGCATTATTTTTCACATATTTTACATTATTACTGAACTCCTCTCCCCAGTCTGGCTAAAACACGCTGATTTCGATGAAGCCCCTCCTTCCGAAATAAGATATGTGCTGTGATTGGTTAGCTGGCCTAGTGTGTTGTGATTGGCAGTGCTTAGCTCGGGAAGTGTCCCGCCCCTTAATAACCATGAGTTCTTTTGGAGTGTAAATATGAATAAGCATGGTTTCAATTTCAAACCAATTCGAACCCGATTCAGACCCTGACAATGTTAACGAACGAGGAGTGTGCAGAACGGATTTCGTGCATAGACTTTGCTAGCAAGGATTTGACAGGATGTTTCAGAGTGGTGTGTTTGTAGTTTTCTTATGCATTATAACTTCATAAGATCTGTTAAAATTGCGTTGTAGTCCAAAAGAGCTGTTTGTTGTAGTTCTTGAAAAGGAGATTCTGTTAAATAAAATCTCTCAGTTGGAGTGGACTTTGGGAGCTTTGTAACCTTGCAGATCTTTTTGTATGCTCAAACAGCAACATTACACACTAACTAAAGTTGAAAAAGTGGAAAACAAACATATTCAAGCTTTGATTTTATTATGCGAGCACCTTTCTCTCTTCCTTTAAAGGTATTTTTTGTGGCATAAGTGGAACCAAATAGAATTACAAAAGTAATGATTGTTCCCAAACAACATATCAGAGTAACAGGGTTTGTACAAGGTGCTTGAATTTGACGCTTGAAATTTAAGTCCTGGAAAACCCTTGAAAACAGCCCTATTTATGAAAAGGCACTCAAAGTGATTGAATTATTGAAAGACAATTGTTTAAAATTAGTGTTTAATGTTTTTGATAAAACAATCTTTTCACACAAAATCAACGCTGCAACCTGTCTGATATTGATATAGAGCCATTTTGCATGGCTATGAGCTTGATATTGCTCATATAAATATCCAAGTATATGATACATATTTCATTCTTCGGGTCAATCATATATTCATGGGAGAAAAAAATCGATAGCGAAAGCGATATCTTTGTCATAGGATCCTTTCAATGGTTAAAGTTACCACAGTCATTGCTTTTTCTTTGTACCATTTTGTTTTATTAGTTTATTTTTGTTTATCTATTCAACTTTTTTAGAATTTGAAAGATGATAAAGCTATTGTTTGATAAGTGAGATCTCTGATTGCATTTCTTGAAAACCAAAAAGTGGTGCTTGAAAGTCCTGGAATTTAATTTTACAGTGTCTGCATGAACCCTGTAATAATGCATGAGCTCAGAGACTGTAGACGTAGGAGATGGATCACTCACCGAAAAATAGCATGTCGTCCACCAAGTGCCCTGTGAAGCAGCATGCCGTATTCATACTGGTCTATTTCTGTCCGTTCACCTGGCTGGTGTCCATCTTGGCCCCTGAATGCAGGTAGGGTCAATTATAGTGCCTGAACACACAGCCACTGTTCCTTAATTGAACAAGGGAGCCGGTACTCTCTCTGTGAGATGATGTGGTGTCAGTGATCATGCTGTGTGTGCCTGTTCCCCTGGAGTGAGGTGTAAGAAACTCAAAGCATCTCTGGCTGTTAATGAGGTCCACTGTCCAGCAGGGTGCAGGTCACGTCCTCTCTGTAACAGAGGATAATATATGTATGTTTTAATTATAACTGTGAAGCACTTTGGGCAACAACGTTGCTATTAAATGTGCTATATAAATAAATAAGTTGAAGTTAACAGCCTTCATGTAATAGTCTACCTGAAGGGCATGTGCGGATACTCTCCATGTGTCATTAAAGGCGCAGTCTGTAAGAACGACAGCTAGTGGTGGAAATGGGTACTGCAGTCCAATTCAAAATATCAGAGATTGTTGTTTCTCACACGGAAACGGACATTTGAATGTAAAATAACTGGCCATAGAAGGGTTTTTCAGAGAAACCAGTATGTGAAATTAGCATGTTTCCTCAATATATTTAAACATATTATGGTATGCTTTAGTAGAGTGAAAAAGTTACATACAGCACCTTTAAATTCCTTGTCACTTATCTTCCTTGTTTTGTCTCTCTCTCTTTAGATGGAGTCTCCGGTCTCCACCCCGGCTCCTCCGCCGCTTCACCTCCTCTCCTCTATGGGAAACAGTGATATCGCCTCACCTTGTGAGCAGCTTATGGTGCGCACGCGCTCGGTGGCCGTCAACACATCAGATGTGGCCCTGTCCACAGAGCCGGAGTGCCTGGGACCCTGTGAGCCGGGCACCAGCGTCAACCTGGAGGGCATCGTGTGGCAAGAAACTGAGGACGGTAAGAAAACGCACTGTAGCAAGGCCATGTGTGATTATAAGATGAGGTTGCGAGATTTGATGAGCCAGACTTTTTTGGTTGAACTTGTGGCAAAGGCTACATTCAGACTCTAAGTCCAAATCCGATTTTTGTGCATATCCGATTGAAATCCGATCAGAATTAGCTAATGTGAACAGCAAAAATCTGTTTCAAGCTACATCCATATGTGGTTTGAAATCCTATTCAAATCGCATTACTGGAAATCCGCTTTAGTCTGACTGCTCAGATCGGATTTCGCGTGGTTTACGAGACTTTCTCACGTCACGTAAAATGTAAACATCAGATGTTGTTGTAGGAAACATGCTGAAAGTCACTGCCGAAACAATGCTGTGTTGTTGCAAAGTGCCGAACAAGCAGAAAATGATCGAGACATATTTTGAAACCGGCGGAGAAGACAAATGTGGAAAAAAGCCTCATACCAGCCTCATACGGTTCTGCCATATGGATCCGATATTTCAGTCGGATACACAAATAATCGGATTTGGACTGACAGTGTAAACTCTGGCCAAGAGCTGCCCACGTTGAGAGGAAGAGAGAGTCTGACTGACGTGAAGCGGATAACCTGGTTTGTGTTGTTTTTGTATAGTGTTTAAAGGCAACTGAAATTGATTATATCATTTGAACAACAGGGGGAAAAGATGATTTAAATAGTGTCTGTGATTGGTTGTAAAGAAAATTTGGACTTTTTCTTTATTATTTCACAGATATAACACATGCTCATGTGTATCTAGTTTTCTCCAGCAAAATTCTGGTTACTTTTTGGGAAATCCAGTGATTAGTTGTTCCTCAGAGCTCATTGTATCAATGTAGTGTCTTTGTTTCCAAGTGGAATGATAAAAACAAGCCAACCATGATGTTTGTATGCATACAAACTGGTGGTGGTTGAAGATTTCCCTGATCCCGTTCTAAATCACTTTGGCCCTGTTTACACCTGGTATTAAGAAGCGTTGTGGTCGATCGGATCACAAGTGGACGACGCTAAATACAGATGTAAAGGGTCTAAAATATTTTGAGCTTGTCCACTTTCGACCACATCCAGAGGTAGTGGAAAACACATTCGACCGGATTGCTTTCGTAGTGTAAACGCTCATGTGGTCGAATGTGTGATGGTCGAAGTTTGGTTTGAAGATGAAAAATGTACCAAACACAATGTTCTCTCAGCATTCCTGATCTCTAACACACACTCGCAGCGTTCGGCTGGTCTTGCGTCTGTCAGAGCAGAAACTAAAGCTGATGCTCTCTGTTCTGTCACGTTCATATGTAAATTGCGTGAGCTTATTTCGTCCAGTAGATCTAAAGATCTGAAAAAACCCATACATTTACTCCCCCATAGACCCTCCCCTTGAAGAAATCAGGACAGAAGTGGTCAAAAGCGGACAAAAGAGACAGATTAAAACACCAGATATAAACAGGAATGTGTCTATTTGTAGTATCTAAAAGTGCTATATACACTACCGTTCAAAAGTTTGGGGTCAGTGAGAATTTTATTTTTATTTTTTGGAGGAAAGAAATCAATACTTTTATTTATCAAGGACAGTAAAGAGACATTTATAATGTTACAAAAGATTCTATTTCAAACAAATGCTGTTCTTTTGAACTTCCTATTCATCAAAGAATCCTAAAAAAAAAAACTGTACAACTGACAGACCAACAACTGTTTCAACATTGATAATAATAATAAATGTTTCTTGAGCATCAAATCCTCATATTATACTGATTTGTGAAGGATCATTTGACACTGAAGACACTGACACTGACACTGATGCTGAAAATTCAGCTTTGATCACAGGAATAAATTACACTTTACTATATATTCACACAGAAAACAGCTGATTTACACTGGAATAATATTTAATACTATAACTGATTTTTGTTGTATTTTTAATCAAATAAGCGCAGCCATGGTTAGCAGAAGAGAATTCTTTTTAAAGTATTTAAAATCATACCGACCCCAAACTTTTGAACGGTAGTGTATATGCTTGCTTCATTCATTTATTTTCTGTGTACCATTTTAGTTGTTCACTGGATTATATGCATATAAACTTGTTCAATTTAATTGGTCAATTGGTTAAGAAACCAATTAAGAGTAGATTTAAGATGCTTAAATATTTTGTCAGCCTCCAGCAACTAGCAGCAAGTTACAATGGTATTTTTGAACAACAGTTACTGAGATTAATAAAAACGGTCCATTTTGATGTGATGGGGGTACAAAAACAATTTAGAATCCAGAGAGAAATTGACTGTGTTTGGAATATGTTTTGATTTAGGGGTGGGTGACATGGCAAAAATATCATATCGCAATTATTTATTTATTTTTTCAGGCAGGATCACAATCAGCTATTTTTGCATGTCACTGAGCAGTACAGCCAAGTTAATTCCCCTATTTTAGGAAATTTGCCTTAAAAAGTAACAAAAAACATAAATGACAGGCCAAAGTAGGTGTGGGACAAAATCTTCTTTCACCTCATTTCATTATTTTATCTTTGTTGAAAATAAGAACAATGATGCAAATGTCAAATAATAGAATAAATACAATATAAGGTACAAAATAAATAAACAGTGCTTTATTTTTTTCAGCAAGGTCTGTTTTGAATATTCAAATAAAACTGCATTGACATCTTTAAATATACATTGATGCTACTGAAGTTACTCAGTGAGTGATTTTCTTTGTTTTTTTGTGGTTTGATAAACATTGACACAAAGTCAGCAGGTATATTAGGCTGGTGTCACCTCAGGCACGGATCCAATATACAGATACACATCCGAACTGTTTACATTCACTTAAGATATAACCGACTGTGTTTATATAAACCTTGTATGTGTTTGACAGTTAAAGCTCAATAAGAGAACTTGGTTCAGTACTTGAACTGTGTGACAGCCGGCTTTCTGTGCGTACGCTTCCTGGTGTGTGTCAGAACAGCGCTAGTTATTTCCTAAACATTTATGCTTCAAATGTATACAAGAGCTGAAATACCTTTGAAAATATAGGTGTAGAAAAGCATATATCTTGATCTATCGTTATTAGTATTAATTGTTATATATATATATAAATGAAAAATATATTATTGTAATTTTACTTAAATAAATAAGCCTGTAAAAGTTGCTCATTCTGTTAGATTTCAAGAGTAATTATAAGAGTAATCCTTACAGTGCACAAATACCAAAATAATAATTTGTTCCTGTCCTAATTTACATATTAGTCTATTCCTGAATTTCTCCTCAGGGATCAATAAAGTACATGTATCTATATCTTATTTTAAAACACCTGCCTCGTAGTGATTGTTATGCAGAGCCGTGGACGGTACCTCACGCTTGCAATTTAATTGATTCTACCTGGATTTGTCCAGATTCTGTAGGTTTGATTTTTTTTTATTTATTTTTTTTATATCCCTTCTTATCATAGCCCACTGCAGAAATGTCAGTGAGTTCTGCTCTCCACCAGCCTCAGTCTGAGAAATGAAAAGGAAAAATTTCCTTCAAATCCCTAAATGAGAGCATAATCTAGGCTATGGGTAGGCAGTGGAATACGTGCCGCCCACTCTCTGCCATCCTCCCAGTCCCGCCACATAAAGGCCTGCTTCATCAACATTCACAGCGCATTGGCTGTCTAAGTGTTTTCTATTCCTCTTGCCATGGGCACAGTGTGTCTGATTCACCCTGCTCCTCTGTGGCCACTCTTGTGTGTGTGTGTGTCTTTGACATGGAGAGAGAACGCAGTTGAAGGGTCAAGAAGGAGAGAAAAACAAATCCGTTTGTGTCCATTGACAGCCCTTCCCAACCAGTGCCACACTTCCACAACATCAGCTCGGATCTGTTTTTCCAGGATGGGTCTCAAACACAGGGCTCCAATCATCTGCTCTTTCACTTTAGAGAGGCAACCTTTGTTGTGCTGGTGTTATACACTTTCTCTCTTTCTCTTTGGGATGCGAGAGCTGGTTCCACTGGTGTGCATAGTGCATCTTCTTTTGATGTGTTATTTTTCTCATCAGGGTGTTGGGCAGATCTGTATCGTGGTGACACTTTGTGTGGGTGGAAAGTAGAGCAGCAAGATCCCGTGGCAGGGAACACATCTCTCACACACTTTGAGATGTCTTTCCGCTGTGCTGCACTCTCTTAAAGACGTTGCAGACAGTCCACCCACACTTCTCATAAGGATAACTTCCTAAGTCCTAATACTGACAGTGTGTATCTTTCCGACATTACTTGAACGCAGCATAAGATACCTCTGGTGGCAACTCTGGCCCTCAAGATTCACTTTCCTGAAGAATTTAGCACTAACCCTAATCAAACACACCTGAACAAGCTAATCAAGGTCTTCGGGATTACTAGAAAGCTACCGGCAGGTGAGTTTGATCCGGGTTGGCGCTACACTGCAGGGAAGTGGATCTTGAAGGTCAAGACTGTATCCGAAATGCCCCCAAATACGCTGATTTCACGCAGCCGCCATTTTGAAATCGCTCCGGTGGGAAGAAAACCGGAAGTGTCGCTTTTAATCATAGGAGAGTCGCGAATGCGATGGCGTATTGTTGTGTTAATGTAGAAATTAGTTATTCTAAAAATGTACATACATTTCTTTCATACTTTAGACTATATACAGTGAAATTAATTTATAAATAAAACATTTTTTTTATAATTCAGAACGTAAAAAAAGAAGCAGGAACGAACTATATACATACCCTATATTGGATATTAACATCCAATAGTGTAAATCGCGGCAGCAGCTTCAGGTTGGTAGTCCAAGGCATTGTTGTTTATCTGTACTTCCGGGGTTCTTCCCACCGGAGCCTCGCTTTCGATTTCCAAAATGGCGGCAGCGTGAAATCAGCGTATACCCTCAATCACTATTCACTACATTAGTTTGATTTGAGCGTACATCGGTTGTACACGCGTTATTGAGGGATTGAATGGGTGCACTCAAACTATGGTTTCAGACATTACTACAAATGGCTTTCCCCTTAAATAGTGCCCTATTTAAGGGAATAGGGGGCAATTTCGGACACATCCCAGATTTGCCCAGCCCTGCCGTAAGACCTGCGCTACATCCAAAATAAAATACTTCCCTACTATATAGTATGCAAATAACAGTACGCCAAAAGAGTAGTATGTCCGAATACATAGCATTCAAAAAACATTAGACGAAAAGTCTCCGGATGGCCTACTGCTTCCGGCGAGATTCTGAAGTGTGCATTCGATGGACACTTTACTATCCCATGAGGCCACGGGAGGGGATTTATGAATTGAAGTAAGTGACGCTGGTTGGTCACGTGACCGTAACAACATGGCTGATGAATCACATCTGAATTTAATTCATACAACCCATATTTATACTATAGAATAGGGCTTTTCACAATTTACATGTAATCGCACTTAAACCGATTTGACTTATCGCGATTTTGAAATTTGAAGTTTGAGTCACTTATAACGTGCATTAAAAGCACCACGCGTCAAACATCTTTCCAAACATGAGAAGCATTTATGAATCTTGTCCAACAAAAGACAACATTTAATAACATGCTTTTTAGGGCTGTTTTCGACTAAGGATTTTCATAGTCGAATCTGATTCGTTAGATTTTGCCGTAGTTGACTGATAGTCGAACCTTTTTTTTTTCTTTTTTTTAGATAGCAGCTAGACGTTCGGTTGAATAACTGTTCGTCTGTTATAGGACAACTCGATCTACGTTTATTTAAAATGAACAGCAAGACAACTAGAAGTGAATGTGCTTTCCATTAAATGAATCCCTAACAAAAAAACAAAACAAAAAAAACGTTGCAATGAACGTGCTTTGTTTTAAATAAATCACACACAGTAAACAAAACCTTAACAAAAAAACTTTGCAATGAACTTTGCAATTTAGACGCGCAAACTGCGTGCCGGTGCGGTGAGACGTAGCCTACATGATTGGGTAGATTCGCCTTGAAGTTGTTCATCCTCGGATGCGGCGTCGCGCGCGCTGTTACCAAAAAAAAAGCCGTGCACACAGCCAAGCGAAATGGGGTCTTCCGCACCCAACGCGTCATTTATGCCGCGCACACCTTCGCGCTCGTGCGGACGCGTCGAGTATAAACAAGTCTTTACTCCGTGTCAGCGCGCGCTCTGATCGGTAAAGGTGCACAGACCTCTCCCGAATCATCTCCAGCAGTAGCAGCCTCTGAAGCACCACTAACTCCGCCTCCGTTGAGATGATAAATTCCTCGTAAGATGATATATTAGTATTTAAACATTCTCTATGATAAAACATTTTTGTAAAAAATATTCTAATAGCACGGTTTTGGCGGTTATAGAGTTCTAATGACGGTGTTCAACTATAACCGTCGGTCTCACGGTTATATAATAACAGTCACACCCCTATTGGTTACAAAACACTTCCCTACTATTCGGCTATGAGGTTCATAGTCGAATCAGACCTCTCCGAATCGAATCGTCGAATCCTCGAATATTAGAAGTCAGCCCTAATGCTTTTACTCCAAACTCACTTCATAACGACAATTGAGCATCCTTCTGGGAGATGATGTGGCTTCTTACACGGAATAAGGCAGTCGTGTGTTTATTAGTCATGTTTAATCAATCAAAGCATTTCAATCTTGTGTTTATTCAGCTACAGCGATGATGCACGATAGGGATTTCCTGGAATGTTATTGTACTTCTACGGCGGGGCGTATTTGGCGTGTCTGCGTGAGACGCCCTCTGGTGTTCAGATGAAGCCGCATTTACTTCCGATCAGCCGCAATGCACTGACAAACTGCGTATACGTTTTTTAAAATTTGCGCAGCCTTTTCCAAATCGCGTGTGGTTTCATTGCGATTAATTGTGCAGCCCTAATATAGAACATAACTCTTTAACTGACTTGATTGGCATCATAACAGTGGTTGCCAGTCCACTACTTTTGTTGGATCTCCCTTAGTTACACTGTGGATGCATGCAGTGCTACCTTAGATTTCAGCAACAACAAGGTATCTTGTAGGAGAACATAATTTAGAGTGGCATTTGTGTCAGGAACGTTACTAGGAAAACAACAAATGTTGCTTAGGTAGCTCGCTGGGCTTTGTAATAGAGCATCCATCTTCCATCCACTTATTGCAGATCGAGTTGTTGCTGAGTCGCAGTGTCCTCTCTTGACTTCCTCGAATCAACAGTGCCATGCTTTTATTTCAGCCAAAGCCCAGTGTGGAAATCTTATCTAGTGCACTGCAACCTTTTATTTGTGGATGGACATATTGACTTGCTCATGTTTCAGCCCAGTGCGTGAATCCCAGAATGGCAGGAGGTTAAGGGCAGACAGCTCTCAGTTCATGATGAAACAGTCAGAGGCAGATTGGTGCAATATTTCTAGGCATCACTCTGACACAAATCCCGCTGCAGGACGCTGGAAGCTGACCAGGGTCGTGTTGGTGTGGCATCCACTCTCACAAGCCATGCATGCTGATGCCTCCAAATGTCAGGCCTAAATCTTCTGAAAGTTTATTGCTCTTGAAGTAGAGCCCAGAAAGCCCTCACCCACAGACTATGAAGGGCCCAGTGCCAGCAAACACACCCGTGCCAAACAGCAAGGCTCATGTGCCAGTATCCTGATTCAACCCTCTTTCCAGGGCCACCTCAATCAGCCATTGCTATTTTATTGCCAGAATTGACTGTTGGTTTAAACAAAACATAGCTGATTGTGTCATTTACCTTTTCTGTTTTCATTTGCATATTTGTCACTTCTTGGATTTCATCATGAGGTCAATGAAGTGCATGCATTTTAAAAATCAATAATGTTTTTCCCTGTGCTCATGTATTTCCTAGTGAAATGGAAAGTTTGGGTGGACATATTGGATGACTACTCCCCCATTTTTAAAATATCACTAGGCTTAAGTAACGATGAACGATTTAAAAAAATACATGTTCATCATGTCTTATGTTATTTCTGCAATTGTTTTATCATGACTTAAAAAAAAACGTATTCCAGCCTAAGATGGTTTGCTGGTCTTAGCTGGTTTCCTTTTAAACCAGTTAGACCAGGATGCGGGAACAAATAAGAACTGTTAAAAAATAAGCTGTTTTGTTTTAAGCCAGATTTTTGTTATTGTTGTTTTGTGGAGTTTGTGTTATTTATATGTGTGTGAGCTTTTGTTTTGTTTAATTCTTTATGTATTGTGTTTTATTTTAAAAGTCAGTGTTTTGCATGTTAAATATTACATGTGCACAATGTATGGGTTTAAATCCCCGCTAGTAAATCTTGACAGAGATGTTTTTAATGGAGTGTAAGAGTGCAGCAGTGCACATGCCAGACTTCTGTTTGTTCCACTCTGGCTTCTGAAGAGCATCAGAGGTGAAATGCCGGCCATTTACCCTCATTTAGTCTGGGTTCAGACAGGTGGCCAGAGAACCACTAATGACTGCAAGTGAAAGAGGAAGGGGCCCCGCTAATGTGCTCTTCGAATGACCTCCATTGACATTTTTCAAAGGAACGGTCATGAATTCAGCTCTCACATTCTGATGCCCATACTATAATGTTTGGGATGGAGGAAAACAAGACAAGGTTTTGAGTAAAAACTGATGATACTCCTTGAATAAAGCAACATTCTACGAAATAAAATGTGTTACTTTAAAAACTTAACATACTAGAGGCTTATCCGAAATACATTTATTAGTCTGACTGACGCCATATCAAGGTTACACAACATTATTATACTGCCTCTCATGAGCTATTAAGGGCATTTAATTGCAATCTAATATTGATTTTGCCTGCTTTTATGGTAGTGTAAAATCACAGAAATATCCAGCACTTACCTTTCCAAGCTTCTGTAGCAAAGCCTCTGAATCACTGCCAGCCACAAACATTTTCATTTACTTCAGCTGTTTTCACACAATTGCTAAACCATTTGCAGAGGCAGCTCACAGTACTGCAAAGTCAGATGGAGGACACCATCAAACAATTTTCCTCCCAGAAATGACACACTCTGCTCCTTACAGCTTTTAGCTGGTGTAATCATGAAGTACACAGTAAAAAAAATAGCATGGCTGCTTTGAGAGTCTCCAAAATGCCATTTGAACTATTTAAATTGTGGCTTCTGCCAGTACTGTGCGTGAAATATTGTGAATGAGTTGGAGGAGCATTAGAATTATAACTCTATACTATTACCGTCTCATTGAGCCTCTAAGATAACAGAGATATTCTCACATTATATTAATTGTCGTCTTTGTTTTTTACAGGTATGCTGGTGGTTAACGTTACCTGGAGGAACAAAACGTATGTCGGAACACTTTTGGATTGTACACGTCATGACTGGGCCCCTCCAAGGTACGTGAAATGTTTTAACTTTTCAAATCAGGAAAATCAAGTGTTCTTCTCCAGGAGCCCCCCCTCCCTTCCTCCCACTTCGCTTGCCCTTACTCCCTCTATGCTAGCAGTAAGCCAGGTGTATCACATCATAACCCTTAGGGATGAGGCACACTATTAAAAACACACACATCTCCAAGTCAAGTGATAAGAATACAGTTTAAATCAGTTTTATATTGAATATCCATTTTTTATTTGTTGTTTAGGAGTGATTTTGGTATGTTAAGCTTTTTAGTAGTATTTAAATGTGGTAACTTGTAAAAGTGCATGCTGTATTAAATGTTTAAAGTACAATTCTAAATGTCATACTATTTAGTATTTTAACTGCTAGCATGTTTTAGTTTTTTTTTTTTTTTTGCCAGATTCAATATTTTTTAACAATTTTGGTCTAATTTACCCATTGACAGCATTTAATTTAGTGTTTGTCATGATGGCTAATTATTATTAAGTTAATTGTGAAGGTCTAATAAATAATGTTAATTTTTCTTTAAGGTTCTGCGAGTCTCCCACAAGTGACCTAGAAATGAGAAATGGACGTGGCCGTGGTAAAAGAATGCGACCCAATAGCAACACCCCAGTCAATGAGAACAGCAACTCGTCTGATAATAAGGGCAGCAACAACAGCAAGACAAGAGCAAGTTCCAACAGCAAGGGTAGGCGTGGAAGCCAAAACTCCTCTGAGCGCAGGACTCCGCCCAACAGCAACACAGAGGACATAAAAGCCAGTCCGTCCTCAGCCAGTAAGCGCAAGAGCAAGCCTACATCAGACATGGAGCCCAACTCCAGCTCTGAGGATTCTAAAGGCAATAAGCGTATGCGCACAAATTCAAACGGTGGAATGACCTCTTCTGCACTCCCAATTCCTATCATCAAAACTGAGTCCCTTCCTCCTCCACTAGACCGAACCTGCCCCTCACCTGTACTGATCGACTGCCCACATCCCAATTGCAACAAGAAGTACAAGCACATCAATGGCTTGAAGTACCATCAGGCTCGTGCACATAATGACGATGATATTAAGTTAGATATGGATGGGGACAGCGAGTATGGGGAAGAATCCTCTCTCCACCCTGAGCCAGGAAGTTGCAACGGAGCGTCAATTACACAGAAAGGCTCTCTCTCCCCAGCACGGTCTGTCACGCCTAAAGGAAGAGGCTTTGATGCTCAGAGTCCATCTCCCTCTCCTGGAAAGTTTGGCTCTAAGACAAAGAAAAAGAATTGTGATGTTGAAGCAGACGTTTGTGGCACACCAATGGAGGGTTGTGAGGATGGACCTTGCGTCACTGCTGATGAGGCTAGCAATGATGGCATAGAGGACAGGAAGTCCAAAAAGCCCAACAGCAATGTCAAGTCTGACAAGCTGTCCCAGAAGAACATGAAAACTTCCAGGTCCATGGCTCCATCCATCCCTTCTCAGCAGATGTATGCTCTGCAGCCAACACCATTCAGTGGCGGGAGCCCCAACCATCCCCCTGGGTTGGCCAACTTGTTGCAGGGTATCCCCAAGAGTCCCCAGCTGAAAGGCATGCAGTCTAAGTTAGGTGTAGCTGGGGACTTGTCGCCAATTAATCCAGCCTTGAGCAGCTCCAAGGACAAAAAGAAAAAGGACAAGAAAAAGAAAGATTTGGCCAAGGATGCAGACAGCCCCAAGCTCCCAGCAAAAAGTGGGAAAACCGAAGAGGAGAAAAGTCCATATTCTGAATCCTCTGACCCAGGAAGCAGAAGTGAGGGTCATCTTAATGGCTCCTCGGACCCTCATCAAAGCCGCCTTGCTAGCATGAAGGCTGAGGCGGATAAGATATACAGCTTCACTGATAATGCCCCCAGTCCATCCATCGGGGTGGCCAGTCGTGTGGATAGCAGCGGACAGCCTCTCACTCCTCTTCACGTTGTCACCCAGAACGGGGCTGATAGCTCCTCGGTTAAGACGAATAGTCCTGCATACTCTGACATATCTGATGCCGGAGAGGATGGGGAAGGCAAAGCGGAAGGGGTCAAAGTCAAGACGGAAGATCAGTCAGGCAGGGATAGTGCGAAAAAGGCTCTCTTTCCCTCTCAGGCATCCTCTAAGGAATCTTCATATTATGCTAGCTATGACAACTACTATTCTCCAAGTTACACCCACCCTAGCCCCGGTAGCTCCACTGCTAGTGGGCCTCTACCAGACGGGCAACCTGTGAAACTGAAGAAGGAAGATGAACAAGAATTGCCAGAGGAGAAGGCAAAGGTGGATGTGCAGGATGAGCGCAAAGCTGAGGTCGCTTCAAGTCACCCACACCAACAGCAGCAAGCCTCGGTCATTCAGCAGCGGTCCAATATGTACATGCAGCCACTCTACTACAACCAATACTATGTACCCCCATATGGATACCCAGACCAGGTTTATCACAACCACCTCATGAACACTAATCCAACCTACAGGCAGCAGTATGAGGAGAGGCAGAGACTTATGGCCGAGCAGCACAGGTCTGCTGAGAAAAAGGCTGATTTCGGTGTAAAGGACAGGGAAACCTCACTAAAGGAGGACTGGAAACAGAAGGGCCCTGTTCCTCCAGGCCTAACAAAAGCCCCCAGCCTTTCAGACCTGGGAAAGCCACAGGCCACTGGCAAGCAGAGAGACACTTCCTCCGAACCTGTCAAGTCAGTCATCATCCCTAAAGGGGAGGAGGTCAAGCTACAGCCACAGCAGGCTGAGGGGCTTAAAATGAAGCTTAGTGAAGCTGGCCATCATGGAAAGGATGACTCCAAGGCAAGTGTAGAGTCTGCCAGGCTGGGTATGGAGCAAGCCATGTGGTACAGACAGGTGAGGCAAACATGTGATTCTTGAACTGAACAACAGCACTGTTTGCAAGCTAGAGGAATAATTTCCCTACAAATGAAACCCTTCATGTTATATAGGTTATATATATTTCAGACCGGGGAGTCTGAACAGGACAAAAACAAGCCCAATTAAAGTCTTCTAATGCAAAACGCAAGATCTGGCCTTTTGAGTATTATTGTTAGAATTTAAATCAAAATAATAAAATCACAGATCTCATTTGGGTGAACTAATTTCATTACCTTTCAAAAACCCTAACTGTAACTTCTTTCTGTTTCCAGTACTCTGACAGTCAGAGACCGCCAGATGAGGAGCGAGACAGGGAGCGAGACAGAAAAGGCAAAGAGGAGAGGCCCAGGCCGAAAGACAGCAGCTCCAAAGAAGATAGTAAAGATGGAACTGATGGTTCATGTCCTCCCAACACTGAGGACCATCGAAGCGGAGGGAAAGATCCTCGGGCCAATGCCCACATACCTTTCAGCTCCCCCTTGACACAGCACCAACCCTACCTGCATTACATGCATGGATATCCTTTTGGACAAAGCTACGATCCCAACCATCCTGGATACAGAGGCATGTCCTCCGTCATGATGCAGAACTACCCAGGTAAGATGAATAATAACATCTGAGTTTAACATTGATTGATTTGTATGGTTTGGCCAACATCATACTCTATGCAAGTACAGAATGGTGCAAAAAGGATTGCTTGGAAGACACATTTTGAGTGCGCAGTTTTCTTGCGTTGCATTTATTATGTCCTTAAAGGGATACTCCACCAGTTTTTATTATTAAACTATGTTATTCCCTTAACTAAGACGAGTTGATACATACCTCTCTCGTCTCAGTGCGTGCACTATATCGCTCTGTATTGCCGCAAAACTATGTTAGCACTTAGCTTAGCCCATGCATTAAATATGGGCCAAGCAGAGAAGCGACCAAACACTTCCACGTTTTCCCTATGTAAACACAGTTACTCGAGTAGTGTAACTTGACCTGGGCTGGTGACACAAAATAAACCGTTGCGCTTTTCTAAGCGTTTAAAATTGATGACTATATTGTATGGCGGAATACCATAACAATTGCTTTTGAGCACTTCGACTTGGCGCAATAATATCTTCACTCGTGAAAAGTCCTCTTACCGGCTCCCGCTTCCTCTCCCCCTCCCTCTGACATTTCCGTCAATACAACGTGACATGCGCCGGTAGTAGTAGTTCGAGCGGAGTTGACGAAGTAACAGGTTGTTGGAAGCTAGTTTGTGTACAATAATGGTTAAAGCGTGCATCGTAAAGGGTTGTGAAAATAAGGAGAATGTACATAGTGCTGTCATTTTTCACCGAATTCCAACACACCACATACAGCAGAGAGCTTGGTTAGCTGCTTTGAACAAGAATCCCAAAACACCATTGATGACTCTGAAGAAGTGGCGTGTTTGCTCCGAACATTTCACAAAGAAGGACTATACCTGCACAGGAACACGCCTAAAGGATGAGGCTACACCAACAATATTCAGATCACTTACAGAAAGCCCGTGGTCTTTCGCCAGCTCCGGTCTGTTCTGGATCATATCTTTCTTGCCTCTCACGGTCCACAAGAGCTAATTCCTCCTCCGTGTACTCGGGTTCAAACAGATATGGCTCTGGGTCTTCTAAAAGAAGTCATAATCATCTACAAAGTCGGCCATTGCAAATGATCTGCAGTTTGCTAATAGCACAGGTAGTAAAAGTCACGTTGGTAGTATTGACGGAAATGTCAGCAGCTGGATGCTATTGGAGGGAGGGGGAGAGGAAGCGGGAGCCGGTAATCTTTTCACGAGTGAAGATATTATTGCGCCAAGTCGAAGTGCTCAAAAGCACTTGTTATGGTATTCCGCCATACAATATAGTCATCAATTTTAAACGCTTAGAAAAGCGCAACGGTTTATTTTGTGTCACCAGCCCAGGTCAAGTTACACTACTCGAGTAACTGTGTTTACATAGGGAAAACGTGGAAGTGTTTGGTCGCTTCTCTGCTTGGCCCATATTTAATGCATGGGCTAAGCTAAGTGCTAACATAGTTTTGCGGCAATACAGAGGGATATAGTGCACGCACTGAGACGAGAGAGGTATGTATCAACTCGTCTTAGTTAAGGGAATAACATAGTTTAATAAGAAAAACTGGTGGAGTATCCCTTTAATAAACCTCAGTACTCAAGGTGGCCACTGAGTTACTTTCAAATACCACTGCTTTTAAACCAGATGCGTTATCATTTAGGTAACTAGCTTTAGACATGACAACAGTTTAACTGGTTCAGCAAGAATCTCCTCTCGTAGATAACCTGATCCCCACTATAGTGCTCCTTGTGACAATGTTGAGAATGCAACACAAACTTGCGCTGCTTTGTAAATTGGTTTTGACATTTTATAGCACAATGACATGTGAAATCAACTTTGGCATGGTGGAAAATTGCCATTCATATACTTGCATAAAGTATGTTTTGGGTCTTTATGTGTGTTAAAAGTGCGTAAAGGCACTTCCATGAAGTAGAAACTCAGTATGGTTTCCTAATCTTTAGGGTCGTATCTGCCAGCGGGATACCCTTTCTCCCCTTACGGCAGTAAAATGGGCGGTGGAGAGGAAGCAGAGAAATCTCGCTCCAGCCCCACAGTCAGCAACAAGTCCGCTTCAGAGTCCAAAGCCTTGGACATACTACACCAACATGCCAACCAGTACAAGAGCAAATCGCCCACCGTTGCCGACAAGCCCTCCCATGAAAGGGAGCGAGGAGCAAGCGACCGAGAGCGGGAAAGAGAGAGGGATCGAGAGAGGGAGAGAGAAATGGATCGGCCTCGATCATCTCCCTCCCAACGCCTAATGCCACCCCACCACCACCACCATCATCTAGGCTATCCCCTTGTAGCCGGGCAGTACGATCTGTCTTACGCCACAGGTTAGCGGTACTTTTTTACATTAACTTGTAAAATAAAATATGAATATTCTGATTATTTTGAGATGGTTGTGGATGAATCTCACACAGTCTGCCCAGACTCCAGAACATAATGAACTCTAAAATCTGGCTGAAAATACAGGGAAAAAAGCCTGTTTTACATGGAATATATATATATAGCCAGGGCGTTTCTTCCGAGGAGGCAAGGGAGGCAGTGCCTCAACAAATTGGATGAGAAAATAAACCATATTAGAAAAATAAAACAACGCAAATATTACAAAGATGTGGGTTTAGTGGGGGGGGGGGGGGGGGGTAATAGATAATGAATGGGAAAAAGTCACGTGAGAGGAGGGAATGCCTCCATCGCACTGATTGTGTATGATTGGTTCGTGTGATAAATCCCACCTCTTGTTTTCGTGCGTGTTCACGAATCGGTCTGAATTAACTAAATTATGGTGTTAATGGGAAGACTAATAAAAAAGTAAGTAAACAACTCAGCCATTTAGATGTCACCGCTTTTGTCACGTCAAAATCAAACTTGAAATAGACTGAAAAGATGAAGACTGTGGGAAGTGTTTATCGAGCTTGATGACTGATGAAAATAAGTTGACTTAAAAAGAACATCTGAATATATTTATATGAAAATTTCTTATTTTAATTGTTAAATTGTGCCTTTAGTTATTTTTCTGGAATAAATGTAATGTCAGTGCTTAAAAATTACTTGATGAGATTTATACTTATATACATAACTGAGGACTTTGCCGCCTTATTTCAGAACACCACCATACACCACTGATTTGTACTATACTGTGCATTGTGACCTTATGTTTAATTATGACATTGTTATAAATTACTTTCTGTACCACACTATTCAGAATTAGATTTTTTTAAAGATATGGGGGGAAGGGGGATATAATATGAACCAGTCACTTCTTAATGAGATTTCAAATGGCTCATCTGATCTGTTTAGGGGGGGGGGAACAACTAAATATTGCTGCTCATAAAACTGTGCCAATTCCACAAGGAAACTGAGCGTAAACAACATCTTTACTGGATGTTCCTTAATTGCAGGCCTTTCATCGTCAGCAATTGTTGCCAGTCAGCAAGCCTCAGCCCCTTCCCTGTACCCACCAGCACGGAGGTGAGAATGGTAAGAGGAAACAAAGATCAAGGAAAGTCAGCAGAAGTGATGGATTGTGGCCAAACAGAGAGTAAATCGCATAAATCAGTCAGTTTTCACGTGTATCCCCATTTCTGCTTTCATGTCATGCGTAATGTAAAAGCTTGTTTTTGATATCCAAGCTTACACTAAAGTTTCTGTAGACCTCCCATCTGTTTCATGGCAGCATGATAGTTTAAGGACCCCTGGATTGAGGCTAGTGTTTTTAGCACCGCAGTGTTTGTAGCATTGCTAGCACTCCTGTACCGTTTCGACAAATGAAGCCTATGCTGACCTCTGGTGGAAAGACATGTAATAACATCAGGGAAATGGGGAGAGTGCATCGGATTAGGCATGTTTAATAATAAATATAAGAAATACTACATTTATAATTAATTATTTATAGATGTCATTTTAAAGCCAAATCATAGATTAAAAATATGCTGTATTCTGACCAGTTGTTTCTTGTGTTTTCTTTCTTTCTTTCTTTAGGGAAACCTGATTGTCTCGCCCTTCTTTACAATTAATCATGTGACTGGATCACATGGGGAAGTATATGGAGTTCATTTAGACATCAGTTGAATGGTGTTTCTATATTTTTAGTTTTTCTGCCGGAATGTGTGGCAGATTGATGTTTTCCTAGTATCCGTACCTCGTGCCCCACTACAGACTGAGACCAGGTTTAAAGCCATCCCGCCCTGCTCAAAGCCCAGCTGGCCACTGAACTCTTGCCTGTGAACTGGCGAGGAATGATCGAAAAGCAAGGACTGTCATTGTACTCGCCCGACGCGGGCTGTGGCCAGGCTGAGGAGGGGACATAAGAACACAAAGACTGAAAATAGTTTTATCACACTGAGATAACTAAAGTTGTTTCCTTTTTTATTTTAGTTGGCATCCTCACTGAAAACAAAAAATCGGTTTTTGAATTGCTCTCTAGATACCGCTGCGGATAATATCTAGCATTGTCTCATAACTCTGTCTTTCTGCCCTTGGTTCCTAAACGGTTCTCACCGCCACATGCCTCAAGACTGCTCTTATTTTTTTTCTTTTTCCCATGCCTGGCTTCTCTATCATCAGCATGGTTCTGTGTAACAACACCCAGTAAGTTATAGCACTCTGCTTAAACGGTGTAGGAGACAGTCATGCTGTTTTACTGGGACATGTTCAGCACTACCATCCAGCCTCTCATGGTGAGCGTCCACGACTGCCCGAGATACTTCACTTCCAGATTCATTCACCAAATATAATTTAAGTGAGCACTGTTCCGCCACAGTCTTTCAGAAGAACATCAGCGGCTGAGGTCCGTTTACTCCAGGGAATTCACTTGGTTATCCTACAACTTGAATCCGAATATCCTCCTTGGCTACCTTACCTCATCGCTGACACAATTTCCGATTTATCGCCGTGGTTCTTAAAATGGATGTTTGTTAATGTGACGAGGTATAGTAAGTTCTTTTAGAGAGACGCTTACGTGGTGGCCGTTCTGCTACAGCATTATGGGGTGCGTGACACCAGAGGCCCAGTAGTTTCGTTCTTGCATGGGGCCGCTCTATCCCTGAACACTTATTGTGGAAGTGTTGTGATGACTCCAGCGTGTTTTTAATGAAACCAAGTGAGCGTTTGACCCGAACATGCTTTCATAGCCCATCATGCTCTGTGTATTTCATGTGTCATCCAGCATGGTGTACTATAGCACTAGAAATGTGACTTTTTAACGGTGTCTCCTCAGGCAAAGCAAACTTTGGTTTCGCACCAAACGCTGACTCTCTTGGTTGCGCACACTATGTGATGTCTGTATATGATGTACAGAGGGACTGTTTTAAAATGCAATCAAGCGGCCATCTTGATTTCTTTGATGTTTTGTTTTGAAATCTGTCTCTTGGGTGTGCTTTTCTTTTCCTGTCTGGTACTGTCCTCTCTGCTTTATCTGCCATGGCTTTGTTTTGGCTTGCTGGGTTGTTGTTTTTTAACATTCAGTAGATCCATGAAACCCTCAAATAAGTCTTGGGAGTCTCTCAATCTAAAATCTCGACCAGTCATAGCTCATGGTGGATCTCAGGCGGTTTCCTGGTCATTCTCCGCTGATTTTGGGGTCATATAGATTTTAACAGGCTCTGTGGGAACGAGACGACAGACAGGTGTTCGGAGGATTATGTTGACTCATTCCCTCTCTCCCATGTGTTAAAGTCACAATGGAAAAAAGCAGTAAAGCACCATGGTACACTGAATACTAAGAGAAATGGGCTGTTACACATCCAAATATGTCATTTGATATTAGGTAGGCTACATTGGGATGTTTGTGCTAAACCTGAACAATTATTTTTGACCCTCATGGTTTTTGTCAGTTAAGAGAGATTCTCAGTTCATGAAAATTGTCCATGTGCATTTCATTTCAAATGGTGCTCAGTTGACACGCTGTGATTTGTTGGAAAGAGGATGCCGTGCACTATTGCATGCTTTACGTCATTTTCACGATGGACTACCACCTCTTTCCCGTTGCGCTTCGTCCCAAGTGTTTCCCAAAAGACAACTTATCACCAAGTATCAGGCCCCGGTACTTAAAGAATGTTTACATTTTTTTTTTTTTTTTTTGTTTTTTTTTTTTTGGCTGTATCACCCAATTCCTCCTGTTCTTTCTTGGACTGTTCTCTTATGTAAAGTGTACATTACCACGTTTCTTTTTTATACAATACTGTAACTTGCCTTTGTACATTTAGGCAAAAAAAATAAATCTTTTTATGAGACAATCACATCTGTCCTTGTGTGGCTCTCTCTGTTCTGTTTTATAATAATTTAAAGAAAATAATTTGTATGTTTTTAAAAAAAAATACATTTTCTTTACTTTTACAACAAAGGTGGATGTTCTTATCCTTCAATCAGAAGATAGTTTTCAGGTAAGTTATCTTAGCTTTCGATAACTGTGGTCGAATGTGTTCAAACCGCCACAAAAGAGCGTCTTCTCTCCGTCTACTGATCTAATGCGTGAACATTATGGGAAACACTCTAGCCAGACGGGGTTTAAACTGTCGGCTGAAGACACAAGTTTGCTTTGAAGATAAAAAACGTACCAAGCACAATGTTCTCTCATCATCCCTGATTTCTAACACACACTCACAGCGTTCGGCGTGATCTTGCTGCTGTCAGAGCAGAAATTACAGATTTTCATCTCTTCTTCTGTGTTTAAAATCGTTTGAATGAGTAAATTGGCAAAACAAAACACATCCAAATGATAAACTTTCACTCAATGTTGGTTAAACTTAGCAGTTAATCCACGAATAACATGCGTGCTGAACCGTGGGGCCGGTCCGTACGGATCAACCGCTAATGATGAATGAACACACATCATCATAATTGCTATCTTACCAGAGATGGAGAAAAATCCTTCTCCACTCAGTAAACGTGTCCCTGTCCCCAAAAATGCCAAATATGTTGCTACTCAAAGCTCCTCCTCCACGTTTTCTGCTGCGCATCGTTTATCTTCACCACGCATGCGCACCAGTTATGTTTAGAAGACTGACAGGCTCAATATTATTCCAAATCCTTCACCGTTAAAAACCTTGGATGCATGAAATTCCAAATCCCTAACATTTTAATTCACTTGCCTTATTGCTCTAATGCTGTTAGACAGTCATATGACAACAATGAAATGTCTGAAAGGGTCATTGTTTTGAATATTTGCACAATAAAGCCCTTTCAGCTTGTTGTAAAGTGCTTTGTCTGTGACAAAAGGAGCTTTTTGTGTGCAACGTGATGCAGCAGTGGAGATTATGCGGGATGATTTTGTGGATTGTGAATGTAAAATCTGATTATCGCCGATGGGAGGGGGGATGGGAGGGAGGCAGGGAGATGCTGAGGCAATGACTTTTCCTCTGATGTCCTGCAAGGGCATGGAAGTACACTTTTCCTCTTGCTGCTAAGCAAGTCTGCATCGGATATCTGGGATTTCATGGGATGCACTATATACGCAGCCAGTTCTGAGGCTCCTTCAGCGGAGGGGCCTGAGGCACAGAGACGCCCCCATGGTCACAGCACCAGGACCTGTCGTACCCGGGACCGGTGAGGCTCAGATGCATTATAGCGTGTGGACTGACTGTTGACCTGTGTCTTTTATTAATGCCGAACTTTAAAGCTATTAAAAACCTCAACTGTCAGACATTTATCGCCAAAATGTGAATGTCCACAGTCATTTCTGGCTGTTTATGTGTAATTTAGGCTATACTTTTACATTTTCACTTTGGATTTCATTCATATGCTTTCTTGTGTACATCTGTTTTAACTTAATTTGCACAATCTTTAGGCCTACTATTTGTTGTCTTGTTTTCAAATTTCAAAGTAAGATCAAGGTAGAAATAATATTAGGCCTACCCACAACTGTTGTAAAGTAGCGTACTATATAAAACGCTTCTGCCATGAAGTAAAATAATAATAGGCTAATAATAATAATAACAAAATTATTTTGAAATGGTTTATGATAGTAGGCTTAGTTATGAAGCATTTCAAAGACAACAGATTCGTTTTTATAGACGTCTACGGACATTTACTTTGTCAGTCGTTGTCAAAACTGTCTGGACTAGAAAAAATAATTGATTTTAAATGGGTAGTTATTCCGATTCTGCAGCGTGTCAGTCAGTGTGTGTGTGTGTGTGTGTGTGCTGGAATAAATCCAGAGGGAGTTCCAGGAGCTTCCTAATAACACCACGAGTCGCTAATGCTGCTGACTTAGCTCTCATAAGACATCACACTGACTACATAACGCTCACGATCACACTTAGTTATGACACTTTACATTCATAAACACGGACTGTTGTAACGCCGGTAAGGATGTTGTTGTCTTAACATTGACCCACCTCTATGGGACACGTCGAGCGAGGGTTTGGATATTTCCTCAGGTACGTGTCTGTCAACGGATCTTTTTCACAGACTGTGATGACGCGTTTTTACGGTCATCAGCATCATAAATCCTGCAATGTTTTTTTTTTTATTATATATATGTATGTACATTTATAACACTATTCTATGTAGTATATTACCTTTGTTTGTATCAAATTACAAAACAACTACTGCTGTGAGGGTGTTTTAATACAGCAGCTGTGGAAGTGATGGTCAAATTGACATCTTTCTCTCTTCTCACTTCCGTTTTCAATCTGTCTATTTTTTTCCTCCTTTTGAAAGTTGTGAAAACACTATTGTGGCGTTTTTCTTTTCTTTTTTTGAGCTTCCATTTGCTCAAATAGCAATGTAGTCCCCCATTCACTGCTGTAGAAGTTTACCCAAAGTTGACGACGTGCACTACTGAGAAACCCGCGAATGTAGCGTTTAATTCACATATCTAAGGTGCATTCAAAGGTTTAAATTGTTGTTCACTTCGAAAATATAGATCACATTTAGTTTTTCTGAAACGTTTTAGTTGGATGTTCGTCTAAAGATTTTTGTTACTACTTGTTTCAGAACGTTGCGAAAATTCAAAAGTAGGCTAATGTCCCCATAATGTTTACAAAAAAATCCCTTAAGATTTGTATAACCAAGAAAAAAAGAACGTTTTTAAATAATTTCAACATGCAGAAATAACATTTTTCATAACAGAATGGGAAAGTTAACGCCAGAATATATTTTTATTAGCTGTGAATACGGTATAGGCTAGCCTAAATTTCCATATAGCTGCTGTACTTAATTATTGTGCAAAGTTGCTACATTGCTTGGAAACCGCAAACCATCAAGCAAGCGATTTACTTGGCGGATATTTGTTAGTTTTATTCAGATTATTATTACTATTATTAATAAATGTATTTGACATTTGTATATTTTATTATATGTTCAACATCAGTTTGCTTGATGCATTGCTTCACAGTGATTTTATCACAGTTACAGAAGTTTAGGCGGCTATAAAATGGCTTTATTGAACACACAGATATGTCTGGTGGTAAGTTTCTAGTATGTATAGACCATACTCAGGGTAGACTCAGGGTGTATACAGCATATTTTTATCACACAATTTTGTTTTAGCTAGTCAGCATCCACTACAAACTGTATATAAACTGCTATGTGTTTATAAATGGAAAGGGCAGTGGAGCAGGCCAAGAGGAGTTAAGACTGAGTTAAGACGTGTATGTAGGTCACTCACAGCGACAATAATACATAACCAAATGTGATGTATATGAGAGTTCAGCATTTCCAGAATTTACCACGACAACCATCGTTTTTTACCAAAATTCCTAAAGTGATGTTAACCAGTCAAAAATAAGGTGACACCTCTCATGAATTTGTTATGGTTTTACAGTATTAACAATAAATGCAGCAACTAGGGTGTTTTTGGCAGAAATTATGATTAGCATTAGTAGGCAATATACCAGTATTAACCAGTAGAAATTTATCAACCGATAAAGATTTAAAACAAGTGGTTTTAATAGCTGCAAAAGACAGACTTTTGATATAAGTGTCTGTCAAATGCATAAATGTTACTCATTTCGCTAAATGCGCGCGCTGTCTAAGGCTATGTTTACATGGAAACGATCTGAAGAGAAAACGTAAAAGTGGCATTGATTGCGTTATCACTTTTTATTCTGTGTTTAGATGAGCGTTATGGTTGGGAAATCCGCGTGCATATGGTGACGCAAAAGTGTGTGAAATTCGATGTATTATGCACTCCAGGCGGCTAGCTGGCAATGTGAAGCACTGCCACACAACAACACCAATATCTTAGAATATTTTGTACAACTGCTGAAAAGACTCTTGTATGTTTATCAGAGCTGCTAGGGCAACTTGAAGGTCCGACGTATGGAAATAATCTGACATGTTGGTTGTTATTCTCCTGTACTGGCGCATGCCTGTGACGTAAACGCGTACGCGACGAGAGCCACCGTGAGCAGATTTGCGGTTTTACCGTTTAGACGGAAACGCGGCGGTGGAGCGTTTTTAAGATTTCCACTCTGGAGGGTGGTTTGCGTTTTTAAGCCCCCAAAACGCCGTTGCCGTGTAAACGAAAGGCACATCCGATAAAATATTTTAACGTTTTCACCCGGAATCGTTCTCATGTAAACGGGGCCTAAGAACGCACATAAAGCCGCTGCTCATAAAGCACAATTGAAACAAACTGAATTGGGTTCTTATTGATGCCTAATTTGGGCTTGAACTGTTCAATACACTTATGTGTCAAAATGCCCATCTTTGCAAGTATCCTCATAAACACACTAGTAATCAAAGTCTGAACATAAACATTTGAGAAAGAAAACGCATGTGTATCAGTATATTGGATCTGTGCATTCGTTCTTAAAGTGACAGCAGGCTTCAGGCTGTGTCATTAATGTTGATCAAACAACAAAAGATAAAGAGAAATCACTCACTGCTCTTGACTGAATCACTTTTGTTATTTTAAGATTAAATGTATATTTAATATACACAGTTAACATGCAGTGTTTATTTATACATTTGATTACTTTATAAAATGTATGTAGTATTTCTTATTTTTAGTGTTTGAAGTTTTTCAGGTCTATTTAATGTGTCTTTGTTTCCCTAGCCTAGTTTCTTTGTTCACTGTTTTACTTTTAACTTATTTTTTGTGACATTGAAAATGGTGAGAAGAATTATGAAATTTCAATGGTATCAAACATTTTAATATAATAACCTTATTCAAGCAAAAATAACTATTGTGAAATAAAATTAGTCACAGCTGGTCATATCTGGATTTTGGTCATATCGCTAAAGTTAGAGGAAGTGTGCCAGTAATGTTGAAATGAAACACAGAATTGTTGTCCTTATGTAAACCTGCCTCTTACTGACATAAAGCACACAGGTGTTTTCCAGCAAAATAAGCTCGCTAGCATGTCCTTACAATACAGTTTGTTGTGAATGGCTTGCTAAATATCCGTCAGAAAGCTCTTGTGTGTGTGCACCGCCTGCGAGAACAGCCCTGGAGTACAGCTGTCTCTGTTATTACTGTGAAGCCCTGGAGCCCTTTATACAGCGAAACCTCCTGGCATCGCCTGCTCGAAACCAGGAACATTAACACATTAGAGTACTTCCAATATTGTAGTTACTACAGCTGTATCTTATGGCATATTGTGCTTGAATAGTTGTAAAATGTGCACACTACTATATTAGTTATATCAGTACTTATTAATCCAGAATGCATTCATTTGAGACATTTATTTAAGTTACTGTAAGTTTGAATGGTGCTAGTTAACTGAGGTGGTTTAGTTTACGTCACTGAACGGCTGCCTGTTGTTTACACGCATTTAGACACAGACTTTCATTTACCTAAGTTGATTTGGCTTTCTGTACCTCTACAAGCAGGATGTTTGTTTAATCATGCGTATTCAGAAACATGCTAATAATGAAGGTTCTTTATTGGTTCTTTATTCCAAATGGTTCCATAAAGAACCTTTAATATTTATGGAGCCTTTCCATTGCATAAAAGGTTCTTTATAGTGGAAAAGGTTCTTAGATAATTAAAATGTTCTTCACATTAAGAAAAAAAGGGTTATTTTAAGAACTGTTCACTGAATGGTTCTTCTGTGGAAACTCACTGTTGGAACCTTTATTTTTAAGAAAGTTGTCAAGCCTTTATGCCTCGTTTTCAACTTTTGCAGCATGAGCCATCATTGTCAGGTAGGAAAAAGAAATATGCTGGTGTGTCTTTAAGAGAGGCTTCTGTGCCTGTAAGCTAATGTTGATTTGGCTAAATGGATTAGTAAGTATCCTGCCTAGTAAATGCGTATTAATATAGAGAGAAACAATGAGAGCACTGATTAACCTCCAACATTTAGGACAGTCGCAATCATATCATGATATAAAACAGTTCAGCAGCCGATGACCCGACCCAGCTTTAAAACTACACGTAAAGCACGGCTTCCCCTAAAAGAGCTTCACAAATGTCACATGTTCATCAGTGTGTTTCTATCCGGCCGTTATCACAGAATACTGTTTTTTTTTAATTGATTTTTTTTTTTTTTTTTACTGAGAAATTGCAAATTTAAGCAATTTTTATCTGATTTTTTTTTTTTAGAGCTTGACAAAATAAGGAACATTTATATTCATTATAGCAATGTACACGACTTTGTTAATGACATGACCTTTCTCTCATATATCTAGGTCCCCTGCTTATGTTTACACATCTTGATTAGCTAGTTTTGTCTTGCTTTAAATAATTTGAAGCCATCCAAGAAGTATGGAGGACCAACTCTACCATATTTAAAAATAAATACAGAAATAAATAAATGCTCAATAAATAAATAAGCATACAATTAATTGCCCCAAAAAATACAATAAGCAAATAAATGTAGGTAGAAATTAAATTATACAGTGAGACATAAATGTATATACCTCTTTTAATTAGCTTCTTTATTTATTCACCTTTGTAATAATTACCTTATTTATTTATTGTCCGTTATAATCTTCAACTTTATTTATTAATTACTTATTTTTTAAAGTATTTATTTATGTGCATGTTATAATATTTTTGTCTGTTTTATTCTTCCTTTGTATTTTTTTACCCTATTTATTTCTTCAATGCTATTTATTTCTGCCTGTCAATTTCTGTATGCATTTCTGCCTCATTATGCAAATGAGGAGGGGCTGTGTCTTAAGGGGTCAACTTCTGCCCATAGAGAGCCTAAGCCCCTCCCCTCCGCTTCCGGCTCACGGGACCTTATTTCGGAAAAAAATATGTATGGTAGTCAATGGCGAGAGACAACTTATCTTTTTATTCCGTCTGAACTGTGCCCTGAATTACACATATGATGTTTGTCAATTTAAAAGATAATTATGAAAGTCAAGAAAGTCGCAGTTTGTCATAAAACAGAAGAGTAACATTTAGTTTTGTGTGAAAATCGCTCAATGAACTACATCTCCCGGGAAGCGAAACAACGAGCAAGATCCGCTGCTCGTGTGTGTGCAGTCTGGTACAAAACACTCAGGCATGACGGCGTAACGTTACGATTATAACGTAAGACTATAGAAACAATGACAGACGTTAGCTTCAGTAAAGTAAGCAAAAAGTATGCAAAAAAAAAAATCGCGGCCGGTGGCATGTAGATTCGACCGATGCAGTAAAAGGCTAACCAACCAATGGGCAGAAGTTGACCCCTTAAGACACAGCCCCTCCTCATTTGCATAATGAGGCAGAAATGCATACAGAAATGTAGAAACGACAGGCAGAAATAAATAGCATTGAAGAAATAAATAGGGTAAAAAAATACAAAGGAAGAATAAAACAGACAAAAATATTATAACATGCACATAAATAAATACTTTAAAAAATAAGTAATTAATAAATAAAGTTGAAGATTATAACGGACAATAAATAAATAAGGTAATTATTACAAAGGTAAATAAATAAAGAAGCTAATTAAAAGAGGTATATACATTTATGTCTCACTGTATAATTTAATTTCTACCTACATTTATTTGTTTATTGTATTTTTTGGGGCAATTAATTGTATGCTTATTTATTTATTGAGCATTTATTTATTTCTGTATTTATTTTTAAATATGGTAGAGTTGGTCCTCCATAGTATGTGCTTAATTGTAAAAAAAAATCTTTAAAAAAAACTGTATCTTGCAGATAATATAATAATGAAATAAAAGGCCTCTTAAGTGTAATTAAAGAGACTATACTTTTCATTATACGTTTGTTACACTTTTAATAATATGCACTTTGTAATAATGTCAAATATTTAGCTTTAAAGTGCATTTTAAATCATTGTTTTAATAATCTTTAAACTTTAATAATTTTGTCGTGCTTTAAAGGAGTACACTTATTTTGAAGTAAAGTACTTGATAATAACTAGTGTGTTGTTTGATGTTACATTACATTAATTTACGTTACATGTTACAAGTACACCAAAGGTACGCCAGTATACACCAAATAGCAAACCTGCAGCAGCGTGTGTGTGTGTGTGTGTGTGTGTGTGTGTGTGTGTGTGTGTAGGCGGAGCAAAGAGCTTTTTCCCCAGTTCACATGTGAAGGGGGCGTTTCTTAAAGGCACAGCCGCACAAAATGCCCTGCTTCATTCGGGTCAGAGGTGGAAAAAAAAATTAATAATGATGAAATATGTATGACATGACCCTTTAAAAACACTTCAGTAATTATCATCCAATTACTATTGTCCTGCGCTGGCTGTTTAATCCTCTTGTCTATGTATTTCTCTTTGTATTAGGTTGCTCTCTGCCCTCCTCTCATTGCTGTCCTGAGGTGCATCAGCAGGAGAACTGCTAGTTAAGCGTTTTAGAGGAGCAGCGCACCAGCTGTGTGTGTGTGCCGTCGCAGCGTGTGTTCAGTCTCTGGGGTGTATTCAACAGCGGATCAAATAATGTGACCTTCAAAAACAGGAACCGGCCTGTCAGTGCACACAGAGATGACTCAAACCCGTGCCTAATGAAGCTTCCCAATTAAAGATAACAAGGGAAGAATAGGCCATACAGTAGAGCGGCGTTCTCAGCAGCGGTCCATTTATCACAGCTTTCTAATTGTAGCCCAGAAATAGCATGTGCTCTTTTGCTATGGGAAAAGGCTAAATGCTTATTAGAAGTGCGTATGACGTGTTGTTGTGTGTGTTTGTGTGTTTTGCAGGCCTAAGACCATGAGTGATCATCAGGATCCGGCTGAAGATATCGGGGTCCTCACACCTCACGATCAGCCGGAGGACATGCATTTCAGGCGAGTTAGGACTTGAGTGAAAGGAGACTCGGCTTCGGTCGCCTTTTATATGAATGTATTTGAGTGGTTGAAGACAGAAGGTCCAGGGTTTGAGCCTTTCTGTGTGGAGTTTGCATGTTCTCCTCGTGTTATTCTGGGTTTTTCCAGACGCTGGGAGAGGCTCCAGCTTTGACTCTACATGATTTGGAAAATGTATTAGTTAAGATGAGGCAGTCATAATAGATATTCATCAGGAAGTGACACTTTTTAGCTTCCTTCCCCAATAAACAAAGCAATTTTAATGGAATTTTTTAACGGAAAGACATTTAATATTTGCATATTATTTTTTGTAATGATATTCAGGTAAAATATTAGTTTAGTACAATCACACTGTCCTTTCTATGATACCATCTCATGATGAATAATGATTTTTACTGTAGCATGTTCACAAATAACTCTCAATTTATTACAATATTTACAATTTAAAACAATCTCTGTGATGGAAATGTACGGTACGCTCCAATAAAAAAAACCAACACACTCCTTACTACTCTATTACTATGTTAGTGATGGTAAAGTAATCAAACTTGACACAAATGTTTTATTACAATATAATAAAATAAACTTATCAAAATGTTTTATTATGAAATCGATACCCCTTATGTGACCCTTAAGCTTCTTTTATTCAAGAACTTCCCTTGTAAAAAAAAGAACACTTTGGCATACTTTTAAATACAGTATTATTACAGAAATACTATACATTAAAAGAATATACTTAAGTGTGAAATGAATGTCTTTTCAGAAACTGCATGTTAAATTTCATTTATTGCCCTGCTTCATGTACTGACAAGCATTTGTGTTAAACTAAAATATACTTTAATATAATTTTTAGGGTCTAATTCTCACTATTATCTATGACTTTTGCCCTCAATAAACTCCTAATTACTGCTTATTAATAGTTAGTAGGCTAGTTGTTAAGTTTAGGATTAAGAGATGTAGAATATGGTCATGCAGAATAAGGCATTAATATGTGCTTTTATAAGTACTATTAAACAGCTAATATGCATGTTAATAGTGAGAATTGGACTCTAAACTAAAGTGTTACACCTGCCAACTTTTGAGTTTTGCTCGGCGTGAGATTTGTTGACGGGGGGGGGGGGGGGGGGGGTGGTAGAGACGAGTGAGATTTGTTGACGGGGGGCGGCGGTCTCGCTCGCGCAAGGTCTCTCGCTCGCTCTACGCGGTTTGGAGCACAATCTCTGTCTCGCATGCACGCTCGCTCTAGATAACGGGAGATTTTTAACGAATTTGAGGTATAACTAGTCGATCACGAGTGGCTCAACAGGTAGATATATAGATAAACTCATCTTCCAGGCATTTGACCGCCCGGGTTGACACTTCAGCGTGAGAAATCGGGAGTGTGGCGTGTGAGCGTGTGAAACCAATCAAATGCGGGTGTCTCACGGCCAATGCGTGAGAGTTGGCAGCTATGGTGTTACCATAATATTTATTGAAATATGTATGGAATTTATTTAAATATATTCGACTTTTGTAGTGTAGTTGCATCTAAAATATTAACTTGAATTGTAAAATTGAATAACACACTGTTAAAATTATAATCAAGTACTTTACATGAGCTTTAGTATGTTAGTCAACACTTTCAAATATTCAATATCCTCTTATTTTGAAAACTTTTATTTTGACATTATTACAAAGTGCCGTTTTTAAAAGTGTACTTAAATGTGTTAAGCATAGTCATGTAAGTACACTTAAACAACCTTTTTTTATTTGATTAATATTATTTTTTAAATATACTTTTAACATTTGAAGTACACTACTGTAAAAAATTATCGTGATTTTAACGGTAAAATACTACAGTGAAAAACTGTTAATTGGTTAACAGAAAGTTTCCTTACTATAAACGGTAAATAACTGTGATGTATATAATGGTACATTTAATGTAATTTTACTGTAAAATACCGTTAAATTTACAGTTTTTGGAAGTGAAAAAGAACAAGTCATTGTATAATTTACAGTGAAAAAATGTAAATTGACATTCCCACAATTCCCTGCGTGACACTTCACATTTAATGCATTTTTTTTTAAATAACTGTTTCTTCACAACTTTCTTAGTTTTTTTCTAATCGGTTATGTACATTAGGGTTTTATGTTACATTTAATGTTGTTAAATTAGTGTTTATTGCATTTTTTTTTCAATTTCAACATGTTACCATGATGGTGTTTAATGTTTGTGTGAATGACACTGTGCAGCTTCTTTATATTAGTATTAACTTTCTTGTGGAAGAGCTGCTTGTGATGAGCTTTGATTGATCATGTGACTCATCTCTGCTGTGATTGTTGGTTGTCAGTGTATTACAATGGAACAAAACAGATATTAATACTTCAATAGGTCGGTAAATTAACATTATATCAGATAATGAAATACGGTTTATTACTGTAAATTTTAAGTTAAGTCTGTAAAACCAATAACGTTGCTACCGTATTTTATCCCGTAAATTTTACAGATTTTTTTTTTACAGTGACAAGTGCACATTCAATACAATTAAATGCATTTCTCTTAAGGGTTCTATTGAATTTGGGAATGTTGGGAATGTTAGGAATGAATGAAACAGTAATTATATCCGTCACATGTGTACTTGTGCACTTCTTCTCAGTGTAGTGTGCTTCCAGACGGGGTTTAGTTGAGCACTAGATCACGTGCTCACAGTTATATCCGCTGAATGACTGAACAGCTCAGTGTCACAGAGCCTGAATTGTGTTTCCTCTGTAAAAATCCACACTTTGTCCCCTTTACTTGCTTCTATATGAATTATTGACCGTACACTGGGACATATTCTGTTTCTGGCTCGAGATGTGTTCTGGCTGTTAATCCGCCTGGCTATGCAGAAGCTCAGCCAAGGGCAAACACACACACACACACACACACACACACGCTGTCCATCTGAAACACTCACCGTGAGCAGAATAAGAGCTCGTGACTCATGTCTGGATAGCACAGGAGACTCAGCAGTGTTTGTGTTTATACTGTCGTTTTAAAGCTATCTGCCAGCGGATGATGATTTCTGACACATCTGTGTTGCTTCGGGATCAAAGAGAAACGAGTTAATCTATTTATAGGAGTTTGTGGCAGCTGATATGAATGGTTATTAATGCGATACATGTCACTAGATGTCCATAATTCAGTCTGTGTATGCCATGATACCAGAGCCAAACCTATTTAAAGCAGGTTGAACGATTATTCAGAATGATAGATGGATTTTCTTAAGGGAAACTCATTACTCATTATTAGGTTAAAATGAACTGTTATCTCTGTAAGATAATGCAATTATTCAGAATGATATTTGTCCATATCGTTTGATTTTCTTAAGGAGGAAAAACTCTTTCCCAACTCATTACTATAATATTAGAGGTTAAAATTAACAACAGAGCTATTATATTCAACTGGTATTTATTTTCAGATATAATACTTACGCAAAAAACCTGAAATGTTTTTATACAATACAAAAAAACAAACATGTTTTTATAGCTAGCTAACGAACTGTGAACTTTCCTGAGATAAATGCAACGTTAAGTGTCACTGTTCACAAGCTGTTTTATTGGTTGAATATGGAAGTAAAATAATGCCAAATGTTTTTGAAATAAAAAGCCTGTTGAATTGCACTACTTGAAAAAAAATAGGCATTGCATTAACCATGATGGCATTTTAATGCCTTGTATTTTTAGGGCTTGCATTTTTATGGGCTGAAATTCAACATGGTTGAATATTTAAGCTGTGAATATTTCAATTAAAAACATTTCAAACACATTTTCATTATTAAAAATTCCATAATCCATATTCACCATTCATATTTCATTTCCAAAATATTCAAACTGTTTAAAAATACAACCAATAATATTCAACAGGCAATTTTCGGTCCATTTTATTTCGCTTTGCAAATTCGCTTCCACAAATTCAGTGGTTCAAATTCGACAGTAAATTCAACATTGACGTCCAGGAACTGCAGGAAAAGCAGAAGATTGCCGAGCATAATCTCCATCTGCTGTTAGTCGATCTCACCAGTAGGGGGTGCAAAAGCGCTTGTTGTTGACGAAGACCAGCAAAATTAGAGCAAGTCATTCATTCATAAAACTCATTTACAGCAATGTAAGTTTATTTGTGATTATTATGACGGCTGTTTTTGTTAAATTCGGTGCCTTCACGGTTACTTTTCCTGTGTAGCCTACATGCATATTTCTCTACCGTGAACGAGATCATAATTTTATTCCCCGATGCGGATATACAGATCCAATGTTACATTTTTGAGGTTGACATATATTTCTCTTGGTTGTTTAGTTGCCTTAACTTTATATTGTGGCGATGTGCAGCATGCAGGCTATTAGGGTTTCCCTCAATACTTCAGGTTTCCCCTGCTGGACATATACGCTTAACGTAGCTTAATGGACTAGTGATGTAAAAGTCCAAACTCACAGGCAAGCAGAAGGACTCAGAATAACGCGCACAGCTAAGCGTTTCCCAGTGATAGACTGGCATTAAGTTGGCTTGATGTTGGACATTCGCACATTTAGGGACCGTCTCTAAAGTGTATACGACTTTGGTATACACGTTTCTAACTTCAATAGCATTTGAATAGAACGACTTACAGTCATAAAACCAACTGTAAGTGTTCATGTAGTGTCAGGCATAATGCGCACCCTTTGGATTTTGATATTTATTCAAATAAATGTAAGTTTGCGATTGAAGTTAGAAACGTACTTGCCAATGTTGTATGCAACTTTAGAGACGGTCCCTAAATGTGCGAATGTCCAATGTCAAGCCAATTTTACATTTAGTCATTTAGCAGACGCTTTTATCCAAAGCGATTACAGTTAAACTAACAATAGGAGGACAACAATATGCAAGTGCTATGATCCCAGTTTAAGCTAATGCAATACACGTAGGCATTTTAGGACTTTATATATATATATATATATATATATATATATATATAGAGAGAGAGAGA